AGCTGTGAGAAAATTTTTTTTAAAAAGTAACTGAGACAAAAGGAACTTAATCTGCTCAGGATATCCAGTGAGAGACAGCTGAAAGAGATGCATGGCTCCTTGTGCCAAAGTTATGTAGTTCTACAACTTCTCATGATTTTTTTCTTAGATTTTTGTGGGTGCTTATGCAACTTCTGGGATTATAGCAAAATCTTTTGTGGGTGGAGCAAATGACCTCAAGTCAGTGTGGGTAAGTCAGCAGTGTTGAGGGTACACTTTTCAAATGGTTCCCAGCTAGTCCAGCCTCTCACATTTAGTTTGCTTTGCACAAGAAGCCAAAGAGAATTTTTTGCTACTCCTTCCTGTGACATGCAGGAACCTTGTCAAACCTAGATTCACTGCCACACGTGAAATTTTACACCCAAATCTCGTTGTGCTTGAGTCTATCTCCAGCTTAGGCCACGACATCCTATAGTGCAACTCAGACAGGACTCTTTTAATAAACCAGATCAGATTGTAACTGTATTTCCTCTCTATAAGCCAAGGATACAGACACTGATGTGCTTGTATTGTTGCAGGCTCTTAAGAAGCTCAAAGCTGTCTGTTTACGGCTTGCTTTTGGACCGTGCCTCTCAGAAACATGCACAGCTGCTGTTCTTGCCTACTTTCTCCTGCATTTGCCATGGCAGTGGGGATTTATATTAGGGTAATGTATCTTCTCCTCTCCTGTATGACAGAGGTGCCTGTTTTCATGGTGCAGTTAAATGATCCAAGTGTGGTTAGTTCTCTAGGCCAAGCAGAGACCTCAGTTCAATGCCAGTTAGGAAGCTGTGCTTAGCCCCTGTGGTTGTTCGCTTCCATTCACGTCTGGCTCTGTGGCTGATTTAAAGGTCATATTTCCAGGCTGTGGAGGAGTGTTTGCATCATTACTTTTCTTTGTTTGTGATCTGAGCACTTGAAGAAGGATGGTGCAATCCCCGAGTCTCTAACCACAACACAGGGGGCTTTTAGGGACAGAAAATTATACCACAACTTAAGAGAATCTTCATACTGGAATTCAGTATTTCCCCCGAGAGAGATGCACATAGGACAGTCTTCCTATCACAAGTCGCAGGATAAGGATATGGCGTGATATATTCTGGAGTAATATCCTTGAAGAGAAAATATTTTCCATCTAGTTCTATCTAAATTGGTGGACATAGTTCAGAGCCATATACTGGAGCAAGATGGGTGAACTCCTCCTGTGCCACGCACTGAATTTTATGAGAAGGAACTGGGCTACTGACTCATAAGCATGTCTAGACCAGGTTCCTAAATGGAACAATGAAAGTATCTATCAGGGGAGCATAACTGGCCTGCAGTGTAGACTCAAGTTTCAGTCTGGAGCCCTTTTAATACTATTGAGTTGAGCAGAAAGTAAGAGCTGATTGCAATTTGCATAGAAATATCCCTGCTTGTAATTAGAAGGGAAAGGTAAGGAAAATACCTTATGTAAAGGTCTGGTTTTTTACACTTCAAAAGAATTTGACCATAGGGTCAGAACATTTTGAAGTATTTTATTTCAGTGCTTTCTTTTTAACAGAGCCTGAACCTATGTGCTTTCAGTTTTGTTGTAGGTGCAGTCTCCCCTGCTGTGGTGGTTCCCTCAATGCTGATTTTACAAGCTGGGGGATATGGAGTGGAGAAAGGTGTCCCAACTTTGCTAATGGCAGCTGGCAGCATTGATGACATTCTGGCTATCACAGGCTTCAACACTTGCCTTGGAATGGCTTTCTCCTCCGGTATGCTGGTTAATCTGTACGTGGCGAAATCCAGAGCAAACAGTGATATTTTGAAGAACATGTGCTCTGTTATGACCGACTGGTTTGTAACTTAATGACATCTCCTTATAAAGTTCATGTATGGACTTGAATACTGAGATGGAAATTGCTCCTGTTCAAAAGTCTTGGTGTAACATTGTCTGCTGAGTTGTGGGTCACAATAACTTTCAGAGAACATTTCTCCCTGTCTGCTCTCTTGGCTGCCAAGTCTGGTCCCTGCATGCCCAACATAACACTTTCAAATTTCCCTGGGTTTGGCAAAGTTCTTGCAGTGGCTCTTTCTCTGGCTTGTCTTGCACATTTTCTTGCCATGAGCTTTCAGAGAGAGAAAGTTGCACTATCCAGTTCTTTCAGGCCCAAAGGTTCCCTCCTCAACTCCTTTGCCCCAAGTAATTTAAAACAGACACTGTCCTGGAATCACCCTCATAGGCCTACAGTGTGGTTTGTGTGTGAAGGGTCTGTGTATGGCTTACTGAACACATTTTTTGTTTGCTAAATAGGTTCTACTCTGTACAATGTGCTCCGTGGAGTGCTGGAAGTTGCTGTTGGCATAGCAGCTGGGGGGATTCTGGGAATGTTTATTCGATATTTTCCAAGCCATGATCAGGTAAAAACTCAGTAAAAAAAACTTTTTATAAGATAGAGGTTCTTTACGATGGGATGATTTGCTTCAGTTATTCATTTCCAAGCTTCACATGAAGCTGGTTTTGGGAAAGCTGTGTACAGTGCTAACAGCTTCCAGGTTGCAAAGCCTATCAAGTGACAATGTGTTTTATAGGTGATTACTTGTTCACTGCACCAATAATGATATATGATCTCATAGTCCTTCCTGATGCAGAGTTTGGAACCCAGCTCACCATCCTGGTCTCATTAAAGGTAGTGGAAATGTCCACATGTAAAGGAGGAAGGGTCCGATACCCATTTCAGACAGTAAAATAATAATGTATTAGATTAATGTGACATATTTATTCCTATAAGGTGTATCCAGTAGGTCTAAGATTAAAAATTAATAAAGGAGACATATTGGAGGCTTTAAGTGATTGACCATATCATTAGCGCTAATTAGAATGTGTTGCTTTCAATAAAAATTAATCTTACAGAAAGTGGTAGATGAACTTACTATTGAGGGGCAATTAAATGAACAGAAAATTATGGAAGAAAGTACATATGTTCTGGACTACTGAAATCACTTTGCAAAGCATCCACTGCCCTCAGTGGGACCAAATTTTCTTATTATTAAATAACATAAGTGTGATACAGGAGCTAAACAGATAGATAGGAATGGGGAACAATGGTAGAGATATAACTGTCTGCTGTGAGACTGAATCACATAAAAATGTCCCTGGCAAATGTTTGTTTGACTTGTCCTTAAAAATTTGCGGTGGCAAGGATTTCATCTCTCGTTGGATAAACTGTTTTAGTACTGGACTGCACAGGTAGAAAATCCTGTTATCACAGAATTGATAGAAGGGCTGTTACAACACAGCATTGCGTTCCTCGCCTATTGGCAGTAAGATTTTGGATGGGCAGAGGAAAGAAAATACTAAATTTTCAAAACGTATGTTTCTTAGGAATTAATGTCAAAAAAACCCCTGCAAACAAAATGAGTAGTTCAAGTCTCACTTGAAAGCTTTGATTCCTGCAAAATTGTTAATTTTTATTTTTCTTTTCAAATTGTTATTTTCAAAATTAGAAGAAGTACCTTTTTTCCTCCATTTCTTAAAGAAAGTTGCTTTTTTGTTTGTCTCTTTCCTTGGCTGCAGGCATCTCTGGCATGGAAGAGATCATATTTTGCACTTGGATTGTCCATGTTTGCTGTTTTTGGCAGCATCTACTTTGGCTTCCCTGGATCAGGAGGACTCTGCACATTAGTCTTAGCCTTTGTTGCAGGTGTGGGATGGTCTGATGAAAAGGTGAATCCTTATATAAGAAGCGTACCATACCCAAACTCTGTTGAACATACAGCCTGATGGGAGTTTGAATTTCTGTCAGGACTGGTACTGGTGTATTTGTGAAGCTTTAGAGGGTGTACAGATTTGAAAAAAAAAAACAAACAACAAAAAACAACCAGCACATTTTACATTTATTTTGGAAGTCTTTGTCTGTCTTTACCATGACAGAGAGTTACCTGGTATGTGAGTAGATATTGATACAGAGCCTGGCCTACTGACAGAGAAATGCTCACAAGCTTTTCTTAGACATCTTAAGCTATGTAAAGGAGACCTAGTAGTGAAGGCACTTGACTAGGAATCAAAAGCTTTATGCCCCAGCTCTGTGAGTGTCTGTAACCTTACACAGTCACTTTATGGTAAAATTTACAAACAGGTGTCCAAAATATAGTTGTGCATATGGCCTGAATACCCTGAGGTTTTGTTCTCTGTGGGTTTGGGGGATGAAATGAAAAACAGTAATTAACCATTCTCTCATCTTTGCTAAATCCCAGCCAGTGTAATTTGGATAACTTAGAGAGCAGGGTGTACACAATAACTGGTGATATAAGGCCATACAAAAACCATACAAAAGACTGCTTTCTAGTCACCTTCTCTTAGCTGCTAAGCCTACTTCCTCTTACTGTTGCTGCCCCACTGCATTTCTGTACCTTGGTATGTCTCACTGCCTCTTTTGCTTGATACCATCTTACATGTAATGTTTTGAGGGCATCTTTCTACAGCTGTAGCTTTGCAACATGCAGTAGGAAAAAAGAAAGGAAAGGGGATCAGATAGAGCAGAGTCCATGTTATTATCCTGATCTAGACCCTGACTTTACTAAGATCTCAAGGTTTGTTAAAACAGTGAAAGAGAAGCTATGATTGTCCAATTTTAAAGGATGAAAAACTCTTCTTGGGACTGAACTAGTTAAGGACATTGCAACTAATAAAGTTCTCTATTTTAAAAGCTCATTTCAGAAGAAGGACCTTAAAAGAGTGTATGCCATCTATAAAGGTTTAGTTAAACTTCTTTTGATCTGTGAATGAAGCTTCTTGGCCTTAAGTATATTGATGTCAAATGCCTTAGGTCTTTTTCAGCAGATACAGCCAGAGATGTCTGCATACTGTATACTCAGTATATTATCCAGAAGCTCCCTGCTGAGCTTCTCAAAGGCCACTGCCTCCCACTGTCCATAGTGGAAGTCACTTGGCAGACACTGTTCACAGAGAACAATGAACATTGTACCTATTGCTGGAACAGTAAAACGGGTAGTAAACAGGCTGAAATCTATAGAGGATTTTTTTTTTTTTTTGCTAAAAATTAGAAGGGTGAGAAAACAAGGAGAAATGAGGCAAATAATGTTTAGAAGTCTGTATATTTCCACCTGAATCTCTCTAAGGTTACAGAAGTTTTTGTATTACAATAACCTACCATTCCATTGACTGAAGAGCAAGAGGTGTTGCAGAATCAGTCCCAGAGAGAACACCAAGGATGGGACATCTCTAGGCCTTGGATTGATTATTAAGTGACAAAGCACAGCACTTATATTTTCCACACACTCCAGCCTGAAGGTTCATTTGCTATTGTAGAACACAATTAAAAGAGGAGTGCTATTCAACATGCTATGTGTACCTTTTCCTATAAGTGGAAGATTTCTGTTTATCCTGGCAGCAGTTGTTTAAGGAAAATTGTTAGGTGTAAAGTTCAAACACAAGGAGAAAAGATGGTTTTGCCTTTATACAGTATATTGCACCGGAAAGTTCAGCACTTGTTATTGGTATGTGATTTCAGACTTGCTCAGCCTAATACTCTGAGGCACATGGTGTGACTCTCGGGGATGGTCCTGTGCAGGGCCAGGAGTTGGACTCGGTGATCCCTGGGGGTCCCTTCCAACTCAGCATATTCTGTGATTCTGTAACTTTGCCCCTGCTGACATGGAGAGAGGCCTCTGACTGAGTGCAGCACGAGCAGAGCTAGATCATGGCTGAAACTTTTGAGAGTCTGACTGCACTCAGATACAAACAGAAGAACATGTTTAAGCATGCCAGTTTCCAAGGGCTCAGAAACTTCATGCCAAAGCTGCTGAAGTTACATCTTCCTAAATACTGAAAATCAACAATGCTTTATTTTCCTCCTCTCTGAAAACTGCTCTGTTACTGTTCAAACACCAGTGATTATTTCTCTTCTTGAGATATCAAACATTTATTTATTAGCAGAGCTAGACACAGTCTGACCTTCGAAAGGTGTGCAACTGATTTTGAATCTTTTAGTATTATCTCAAAAAAGGAGGAGCAATTCTGGACATCTTAACATACATTTTCACTTTGTTCTATGATTAATTAAATGTTGTGTCTACTTGGCTGTCTTTTCTGAATTTACAGATCGGTTTTGTTTTCATTCCAGAGGGACGTAGAAAAAATTGTGGCAGTTGCATGGAATATCTTCCAACCTTTTCTTTTTGGTTTAATTGGAGCAGAAGTATCTGTTACATCTCTTAGGCCTGAAACTGTTGGTAAGATCATTCACAAATTATCCAGCTTTCATTACTGCCTTCAAAAGATTCTCTAAACAGAAATCTAAAGCAAAGCAGACTATGACTGACCCAAAAAAAACCCAAAATCCACCCCCACTGTAAAGCTACAGTTTTAGGAGCCTTACTCCCCTCAGGCACCTATGCACAAAAGTACTCAGAAGTGTTTGTCTTTGTTGCAGGGTTCTGTGTTGCTATATTAGGCATTGCCCTAGTTGTGCGAATCATAACAACGTTCCTCATGGTGTCTTTCGCTGGGTTTAATTTCAAGGAGAAAATATTTGTCTCACTGGCATGGATGCCCAAAGCCACTGTCCAGGTAAGCAGTCCAACATCACTTTCATTCCAGCCTAAATCTATTGTCCTTAGCAAAGTTCCCTGTAACTAGCACAGCAGTAAACAGGGAAATGTTCAGGCTCAGTGACACCAGAGTGTAGTATATTGACAGTTCATATTCTAAACCACCCTAAGTCTGCTTGAAAAGTACATGGAGAACCTTCTATGTGATGGTGTTTTGCTTGCATCCTGGATTGTACTCTTAATAATGACAGTGAAGGGTAGATAAGTCATAGGAAGTTAAACTATTTCCCAGCCATTGCAGATTATTGTGCCTCTACATAAAGATTATGAGAACTCTCAAAAATAGGCAGAAGCGTTTCCCTCTCACACATGAAATGTCTGCAGGGACAGTCACATCAGAGACTCAGAATAGGTATCAGTTTGTGGTCATTCTGGTAGGGCGCAGTCTGCGAGAGCCGTATTACTAGAGATGCCTCAGGCTGGCTGCATTCCTGCTCCTTTATTTCAGTGATCATTAAGTCATTTAGACTTTGCCTCAATAGCATGATTACTTGCAAGCAAAAGTTAATAATCAAAACAAGCAAGGATTATTGCAAGATTAGTGAACAAATTTTAAGAAGCCACTACTAGTTGACTACTGTTGGGATGCATTCTCAAAGGGTGGCATTTCAACAGCTGCAATATGCAATATACTGACCCATTTCATTAATCACACGTTCCCCAGATGTGGATTAGATAGCAGCTAAGCAATGTTCTTCACAGGGGTAAACCACCCAGATAAACTCATCAGCTTAGGGAATTCAAAATGTAGCCAAGTGGAAATTGTACTCATAGGTGTAATATATTTACTTTTCTATGTACTGCCTAGAAACTAATGGGTTGAATGTACTAAATATGTCAAAGTTACGTGAAATGTTGACTGATGATTGGTCTCTTTTTTTCCTCTTTCAGTGCTAAAGGTTATTTTTTCCATCTCAGCAATGTTTTCTTCCCTGCAGGCTGCAATAGGTTCTCTTGCCCTGGATACAGCGAGAAGACATCAAGATGAGCAACTGGAAACGTATGGAATGGATGTACTGACAGTAGCTTTCTTGGCTATCTTGATTACTGCTCCAATTGGAGCCCTGGTTATTGGCTTGGCAGGGCCCAGACTTTTGCAGAAGGCTCAGACAAATAGCAAGGAGGATGAGGAAGGTGCTGAGGCCAGAGAAGAAGCAGAGGCCTGTGAACCTTCGTGAGACAGACATCTACTGGAATATGGTCCTTCAACCCTTACACATTTGTTGAGTAAACATGGCATGTCTCTAATCTCGCTGGAGGAAACTAAAACAAGTATCAGTTACATCTGCTATTTTTAAAGCAGCCCTGGTGGAGTTCTATAAAATATTTTTATGTGTGGATAGTGCCTTGAGATGAAATAGCTGAACACAGAGTGAACAGGCTGACCAGGCAGTGAGTCAGAAGTTAGCAGTCAACAGTTACTCAAAATGTGTGGGTGGTGAGGCCAGGGAGAGAGTCAGAATTGTTCAGGCATGGAGTGGAGTCATGAGGTGGAATATAAACAGAAGAAAATGGAGAGTAATGTGAATAACCTCTTGATGGTTGAAACTGGGCTGTGAAATTACAGGTTCAATAACTCAAAGAAAGCAACTTCCAAATAAGAGACTGCTGACACATACTGAACAAGTCCTGCCAAGAGCTGGTGATTTCCTCTCCTTCCTCGTTTCTGTTTCTAAAACTTGCCTTTTCCTACTGCTGTTCTTTTTCACAGCTGATGCACTCCTTTGTGCCTTCGGGGGATTGTCAGCTCTGGTCATTGCAAGAAACAGCAAGTGATAATCCTGTGCTAAAAGAGACAGTTGGGGCCCTCACAGACTGTGGTAATAGAGGTGTTGGTGCTGGTAGAAAAAAGGACAGACTTTGAAAATGGGATGAGGGTTGTGGGGAGGTTATAAGAAATGTGAAAGGGTTGTACAGGACTGGGAAGGCTGCTCCTTCACCTGTGTACCTCAGCCTTCACACACAATGTGAAGGGAGGGAAAGCCAGCTCTTTGGCCACTGAGTGGCTGTGTTCTGGTGCTGGCCACAATGGGAGAGCTCTTCACAGGTAGGGTTTGCTGACGGGGCAAGGCCTCAGCTCCTTCTGGAGAACTCAGCAGTAGCAGTAGACTTCTCCTCAAATCAAGATTCATGGGCCAGCCAGGATCTCCTGTTGCTTTGTCCTAATACCCATCTGGCTGAGAAAATGCTATGACTGGGTCCTTCTCACATCTGCATTTGGATAACTGCAGCAAAGGAAACCAGGTATTTGCTAAAAATATAGCCGGTTAGTGGTCATTTTTCCAAGAGGTGGCTGGATGGATTGACAATGGACACTGGAGGGCTCTCAGATTTGCCAGGGCATTTTTTGCTCCTGACTGATGCAGAAAACTAATATAATTTAAATGAACAGTTTTGAAAATGGCAGCGCAGAGCGGGATGATACAAAGCAAAAGGAGCCTCATTCTCACCTACTTTCAGGAAGGCTGCTGGGGGAAGGCAGGTGTCATGAGTAAGCAGTGCTTAGGACACAGCACTTAGCACCCTCTGCATGTACACACAGATCCTGTGGGTCTTTCCAGAAACACAAGATGTGTGTGGCTGTGGATCATGGTAATGATTGGCAACACTCGTGTCAAATACCTTGCTAAAATATTTCAGCAGGGGAAGCAAAAAGGTCAAATGCAGTTTTCTTCATTTTATTTAAATTAAATGCCTTCTGCACAATCAGTTGCATTATAGTTCACATTTGATTTTCCCATTCCCAGTAGAGTTCCCTCTCTCTTCTCCTTTACTGTCCTAAAGCCAGGAGTAACTTCCTCTGTTGATCAAAATCCTGGTCTTGCCTTTAGCTTTGCTATCACTTGACAGATACCAGCAAATCTACCTTCCTCCGCTACGTTTTTTACAAGTAACGAGCTCCAAGTAAGTTGTTCCCAGATCCATTCTGGGGCATGGAGTCAGTACAGCATCCCTCAGAAACTAGAAGTTATTTTGTTGTTTTTTAGAAAGGATGCTGTATTGTGCCTGTAATTGAGGGGGACGACACTCCCCAGCAGATTTCTACACTACAGTTCTCTGAATTCATTTTACAGAATACTCTATAGAATATATTTGATGTGTCTAGATTTTGGCACTAGTAAGAACTAACCAATTCTATTTTAACTTTTACATTTTTAATATGCAAAACAAAAAATGTACAAAAATGCATTTAACTACTTCAGTACTTTTAATATTGAAACTGTACTGTTTGCAGAGTGTCGCACATGCCTCTGTATACCGATTGATTACTGATCAATATATGTTCCTTTGTATATGCCTTCCTCTCCAAGGCAGAAAGAAAGCTTCCTGAGAATGTTTAAGGTTCATAGCCTGCAATTCCAGCACAGTGATAAAAATACGAGGAAATTCTTTGGCAAGTTTTTCTCTAACAGTTGTCAAGTACACTGGTATTTTTTTACTATACACACTGCTGTTCTCTCTGCTTCCTTGGGAATGTACCATCTTTAGTTCAGTTCATGTTTGTCTCCTGACTTGAAAAGATGCTTTCAAACTGTGCACCAATGAATGGTTAAGGGTGCTGTGCTTGGTGGTTATTGTGTCATCCCTTGACTTCTGTGCCTGTCCTGCCTACTTTGCATAGCTAAGGGAAGGCACTCTGCTCCTTAAATAGGGGTGGTTTTAACAGGAGGTTATTGTATTTTGAAATTGTATTGTCTATAAACCTAACTGACAAGGTGAGGGAATACAGTGTTCAGTTCAGACTGTCTGTAAAATAATTCCACTTGAGTAAAACTTTGAGGAGTTCACTTTTTCATAAAGTTTTATAAAAAGCTGACTCCTCCCACTGAGATCACTCTGCCAAATTTGGAATCTGGTCGATAACAGAAGTGTGATGTTGTAAGGATTACAGCCCTTTAAATTTGGACACAACCTTAAGTATGCAAGCAAACCTCTGACAAAGAGCCTTTTTCATGATAACCTTACCACCATAACAGCATCTCATAAATCAGATTTACCATGCCCCCTTAACCTCAATGCACTCTCAATTTATTCATTAGATCACTTCCACCATTCTGAGTTCCTGAATAGCTATACCACTGAAAAGTGTCATCTTTTTGCTAATCTATATGAAACTGAATGCATTTTTCTTTCTTTGCTACCTTATGTGGATATTTCTCACAAGGCTCCTTTCCCCCAGCTTTTATTAAATCTTCAGAAAGATTCAGGTTGAAGCTATTACATAGACCTGCAGATCTAAAACTAAAAGCGTTAAAGCATTGTAACGCTCCTCTCCTTACCTTCCAGAAAAGAAAAAAATGCATCTCGTCATGAAAAGAAATCTTATATGAGGACTACGAACATATAACACTGTGTTTTTTAATAAGTATCATGACAATTTCAGCCGATTTTAAATAGCTGTTAACTTTGAGAGATACGATTTCACTTTTTATCTTTTTATGTGGGTGAATCGTAAAATTCAAGACCACCTCCCTTTTAACAAAACGCCAGGGAAATCATTAATGAATAATGCATAAATTCAAGCCAAGAGAATCTTTATGCCATGCCAGTCTCTTATTTGCGGGAAATAAAATTAGAGCACAATGTGCAGTAACTGATAACCAGAGGAATCCCGCTCTCATGCAGACACAATCGTAGGCATAGCGCGGGAGAGTACTGAACGTGCCGTTCCAGAAGGTTCAGAAGAACCTCTGCAGCAGAAGGTCTGACAGCATTCCTGGCAGCCAGCATTGGGCAGAGTTACAGTAGGCAGCATGTGGGAAAAGACAGAAATTGGCCATCTGGAAGCAGGGAATTGCACAGGCCAGGGGATGCAGTGATAATGTAATTATAATCACTGCTTACTCTCTCTTTTTCAGCCAGTTTTTTAAGGAATTTAGACTGAAGCCTGAAATTAACAGTCATGGTGTAATACAGCCAAAAAACAATGAATGATAAGTTTCTGCATTTTTGTAATAAACAGAGTGAAAGAGATCAAATTTTGGGTCAGCTGCATTTCAATTACATTTACTTTGTCTAGTAGTTGCCACAAGTCAAACACCTTTCTCTAAACTTGCAAGTTTATTTGTAGCCTAATCTAACTATTGTTCAAATTATAATCAAAAGAAAGGTAAACATTACTGTTCTAGCAGAGTAAAAAGATATGTCACAATATGCCAATTACAGTTTCTCCTGATTTTTTATTGAGACTGTGAAGACCTCAGTTCTCAAGTCCACTACCTCAGTTCTGCTCTTTATTAGCCTTCAAGGCAAATTTATCCCTCTGTGTGGAGCTTCCAAATTAGGTTAGAAAAGTCAGGTAATTGGTTCAACTCGCTCTATTGCTGGTGAAATACAGGGCGCTGCAGGCCCTTCAGCTCTTAGCTATCTATCTCTGTAGACTTCAGGTAGATGATTTGAACTGATTAGTAAATTCTTTGAGATTTTCTACAGAAATTTCTGTGTCCATGAGACAGTATTACCTTGACAGATTTTGAAATGCAAGGAAATGGTGATTTATCTTGCTTGTGATTGTCGTTATATTATTATCTTGTGGAAATTACTAAAACATCCCTTCTACAAAGGCACTGTAACTGAGTGCTGCTTTTGCAACACTACAAATGTGTTCCATTCCATTACAGACATAAGCACAAAAAAACAAACTCCTGTTTATTCCATAGCCACATTTGTAGATAGTTTAACAGCAATCTCTTCTAAGAGCAGGCAGGGAAAAAAATTATTTCACAATCGAGCTGTATTAAAGATGGAGTAAAGAGGTTAAACCTTACACTGTCGTTCTGCTTTTAGAGGAGCTTTTTGGGAGAAACAAAAGCAATTTTGCTGTATTACTTAATTCAGCAAGGTCTGTCTTAGTTTAACTGGTTTGGTTTTGATTTCAGAGGAAACCAAATTATTTGAATACAAAAGTATCCTGATAAAAGATGGAAGTACATGCAGGGCTTTATATAATAACAGCCTGCTGCAATGGGCTGTGGATTTCAGAGCCTGAAAAAAGAAATCTAAAGACAGGCTTTTGCATTTCACAATAACTTCTTCACCAAACCCAAGAATTGGGGCTTGGTGTTCAATATACCTCTCTAAGTGAAGACTGAGTATAAGACACTTAATATTACACATTTTTATCGATTTTCAATGTTATATACTAATACGTTTATGCTTTGCTTATCCGTTGAAGTAAGACCACCATGAAGCATTAATACATAAGAGGTTATACCATGGTTCTGTTACAAACTCTGTAAAAGCAGGCATTGAACACATAATCACATTCTAATCTGCCATCTTTTGTTGCAAGGCAAGAGGTTTTGGTACCTGGAACTACAACAGTTACAAAAAGAGGAGGAATGATCTACCTTAGTTCTGCTGCTGTTGCAAGAGCCCTTATGTGAGAACAGCTTTCTGACTTGCTTTCTGCTACAGCACTGTGGTGATCAGCTTTGGCAACAGCTCTGGGGCTTCCCATCTGCCTAACAATGGGTCAAATGAAATGCTGTTAAGGAATGGCTGAAATCTGCCTCAGTACAACTGTCTAAAACTGTAGCATGTATCAGATTTTTGTTTTTAAACTGATGGATACAGTCTTTCATGGGAGAATAAAGCACTTTAGAATAATTAGAAGTCTAGCAGTTAGGTAAG